CGCGTCACCTGGCTCCTGGGTCGGGCCAGGAGGAAACCAGAAAGGATACGGGAGCTCTGCAGATGGGTTTTTCCCGGTGACCGGGTTGGGATGGGATGGGTTGGTGGTGGCCCTGACCCGGGTACAGAGAGGTGGCAGGGGCAGGGTGGGACAATCCTGGCATTGCTGCCTTCCCCGGTGAGCAGCTTTTCAGCTGTCGCAGCTGAAACTTAAACGAATTGTAACGCCCAGGCGCTGGCACTCTGCGGCCGGGCCCTGCTGCAGGCGTGGGCGCACGGAGGTGCCGGAGGACAGGGTAAGCGCTTCGTCCCTGCTTCATCTTCCGCAGCCCCCTTGGTCCCTCATGGGCGCCCCCTGCCTGGTCCCCCACCCTGCTTCTCCCGGGACTCCCCATCCCTCCCCGGTGCTCTCCCAAAGCTCTTTCCTTCCGGGCAGGAGCTGACAGGTACCTGGTATTTTCTCCCCGCGTTTCCTGCTTTGAGGCAGGGCTGGCCGGGTGGCCCTGCACCCCAATGAGACCAACTGCCCTTCTCTGTACCCAGACAGCCACCACAGCCACCGAGATGGAGCTGGGGAACGTCTCACAGCCTGTGTACGGCCCTGGTCCCGAGGCGCCGGGGAGCAGCACCCCAGGCTTGGTGCGGATGGTGCACAGCTTCCTGCGGCTGGTGCAGCCCAACGCCCTGCCCATAGGTGGGTGTACAGCAGTGGGGGGCTGGCGATGGGACTGGGGGACATGCTTGGAGCTGTGGGGTCATGGATGATCCTGAGCCCTGCACTGGTCACTGTCCATCCAGCATTTTAATGCTAGGATACTGGGACAGGAGGGTATGGGGAGAAAAAACAGTGGAGTCCCTGACTGCCAGCTATGCCATGCCTGTGTCCCATCACAGTGGTGGGGCATTCTCAGGTGGGTCCCAGGACAAACTTTGGTGGCAGTGCCACCTTGCAGAGTCCTGTCGCATCTTCCCTGCAGGTATCTTCATTCCAGGCCCCAATAAAAGGTGCTAAACAAACTCCACACTGACTGAGAGTCTGTGGGGTCCTTGCCTGCGTTGCAGCCCTTCTGTACTTGCAGGTGACAGGGTGTGCTTAGACAGGACCCAGCTTGGGGCCACCAAGAGCAGTGTGTCCCAGTGTCCCATCACTGAGGGGATGTATTGCTGGCACAGCTCTGCCCTTAAGTGGCTGCAGGTTGGCATGGTTGCTGCCAGAACCTTGTGGCTGCTCAATGTCCCCAGGGCAGAGTACTGCCCGCCTGGAGGCAGGGAAGTTGCCACTCCTGCTGCTGCCACCTCTGCTTCCTCCTTCGCTGGGCTCAGCCCCTGCTCGCCGGCAACTTGCAGGCAGATGTGTGGCTGGCAAACAGCGCAATGGCTTTGTGGTCTTGTTTGTGTCGTACAGATACCGGGGTACAATCACACGGCACTGTGTGCTGGCATAGCTTGTAATGAGGCCACAGGGCATGGGCAAGACAAGCCCTGGGGATGAAAGATGCAGAATGGCACAGGGACTTTATCCCAGCACCTGCCTGGGGCTGGGCTGCAGGATGGCAGCCCAAGGGCAGCCGAGGTGGTTGGTGGAGCATCCTCCCCTGACTCTGCTCCTGGTGCCCGCTGGGGCAAGGACTGCCTTGCTCTGTGGACACCTGAGAGCCTGGGGGCTGGCAGTGCTATTCCTGGGTGCAAAAGGGCTGTGTGACACGATGGCTGGAGAGGGACAGCTGGGAGGGAGAAATGTGCCAGGCACTCATAGCGGCTCCAAGCTGTGGTGCTGGAGACGATGCTTGGTGCTGGGAATCCTCTCTGGGGTGAGTAGGGTGTGGGGGCCCTCCTGGAAAGCCCCCTCCCAGGGGACCAGCACCTGCTCACAGCCCTCTCCACTCCCTGTTTCTCAGAACTGATCGCAGATTTTGGGCGGTCCCAGAGTGAGGAGGCCATTGGGGAGCAAGTTCAGGAGGTGAGCAGGGAGCCAGCAACTCCAGGCTGCCATGGGCTGGTGGATGCTGGTGGATGCTGCTCTGAAATGAGCCCCAGGTGCTGAGCAGCAGCAAGGGCAGATGTGTGACCCCCTGGGGGGACCCATCCTGCCCCATGGGGGTCTGGACAAGACCCTCAGAGTTAGGGTCTTCAGGGGTGCCGGTGTTATGCTGCCTCTCATTCATCCTCTCCCAGCTGCTGTTCTATGAAGTGGGATTCCTGGTCTGCATTGCCATCGGGCTCCTCTTCATCCTTCTCGTGCCGCTGGTGGGATGCTGCTTCTGCTGCTGCCGCTGCTGCGGGAACTGCGGGGGCCGCATGTACCAGAAGCAGGGCCGGCGGATGGGCTGCCAGCGCCGGGCGCTCTGGGCCTGCGTCCTGCTAGTCTCTGCTCTCCTGCTGTGAGTGCGCGGGCCGGGAGGCTCCGGATGGGACCCGGGGGTGGGTGGAAACGCCGGCGCTTGGCGGCTGTGCCAGGAAGCTGCCATTGTTCGCAGCATCAGATCCCAGCACCGTGGGACAAAGGAGAGGAAGCGGCAGGAGCGGGGAGCTGGTTCAGGGGTCTGCGCGTTGTCATGGTGCAGACCCTTCCTGACAGCTTTGCTGTGGAGAAATATGGGTGCACCAGGCACTGGGCTCCCCCATGCCTCAGTTTCCCGTGTCTGTCCTCTCTGGTCCTTGGCTGTGTGCAGGGTGCTCACTGGGATGCTCTGGAAGGGGGGCTTAGTGGTGTGCTCCAGACCCTTCTGCCTGGGGTTAGTGCAGGTGGATTTGAAGGGTCCTGGGGGGGAACACTGCTCCCTGCATGCTGACTGTGCCACCCTTCCCTTGCAGCGCTGGCAACATCTGTGCCTTCATCAGCAACACTCGCTTCTCCCAGGCTGTGCACGGCACCTTTCCCAATGTCAACAACACCCTGGACAACATCCACACCTATGTGACCTCCATCCCCCAGGTATGCCTGGTCTGCCTGCTCTGACTCCCTGATGGGGAGCAAAGAGCTCTCCTGGAAAAGGCTGACAGTGGATCTGGAGGTGGGGAAGGGTCCCCACACGCACTAACACCCCATCTCTGTCCCTGCAGCAAATCAGTTTTATCATCCACAGCAGTGATGTCCCACTGGGCCACGCCAACCGCAGCCTCCAGGGTGAGGGCGTGCAGCAGAGAGGGGGCTGGGGCATCCAGGGGTGCGTGGGGAGTGGAGGTGGATGGGGGTGCTGCAGATGGTTGTTGACTCTGGGGGCCACTGGGCTGGGTCTCACGGGGATGTCTGAAAGTGGGTTTGGAGGCTCCTCCAGGCTCCTGCTCTGCTCCAGCTTCTGCCTTTCCTCATTCAAGCTCCTCTCTGGGGAGGGTGATACAGGCAATGGCAGGGTGTGGAGTGGGTGGCCGATGGGGTCCTGGGGTGTCAGTGTTTTCAGCAGTTCCTCTGAAAGCTCCAGCACCCTGGAGGTCCCGTCACTGACACTGTCTCTCCCATCTTGACAGACATTGGGCCCAATCTGGGCGGCACGATCCTCTCAAGCATCAGGAGCAGCACAGATGGGGCTCTGGGATCCCTCCAGAGCCTTTTGCAAGGTAGTGGCCCTATCCCTGGGGGGCTAGCCAGGCCTTGGAGGGGTTTTGGGGGGAAACCAGGGGTGAGAGCTGGTGTAGGTGCATGTTTGGGTAAGGCTCCCAGAGAGTGGCGTCCATCTGGCCCCCCAGCCACAGCCTGGTATGAATGCTGGGACTCTGGTGGTTGCATTTATTGATGGGTCCCCAAGGCTTTGCTGGGTGAGGATAAGCCTCTGCCGCACTGGCAGGATGAGGCCCTGAGCCCCCTGCTGTCTCCCCAGGGATGGAGATGCTGGCAGCCACCTTCAGTACCATCGCCTTCAACTGCTCACACCTCAAGGAGCTGCAGAGTGACTACAGCCCGCGGCTGGCTGGCCTGCGGGACAGCATCAACCAGACCCTGCGGCGCTGTGGCACCCCCTGTGACACTGTGTCCCCGGACGGCCTCACCTTCAGCACCAACTTTAGCACGGTGCGGAGGGGCAGGGTGTGGGTTGAGAGGTTGCCTGCAACACCTTCGCCAGACCCCTGCAGCTCCCTCACCCCAGGCTCTTCCTTGCAGATCCCCAGTGTGGAGCAGCAGCTGAAGGCATTGAATGATGTGTCTGGCTCCAACATCGTGGCTGATTTGGAGAAGGTAAGGGGTCCCCCTTGCACCCAGGCATGGGCCTGGGTGCTCCTGGCACTGCTGGGGCTGTGCTGCAAGAGAGTGGCTTGGGAAGACCCCTGGCCAGGAGCTCATTGCTGTTGCATGAAGGGACATGCTGGCCAGAGGTCTACCTTGGCCAGAGCCTGCCCGCTGTCCCCACCGCCCCCAGGCGCTGGCACAGCCAGGGCTGGGTGCTGGGGGGAGCCTGGCTGTCCTGTGCCACCACAACCTGGGGATGGAGGGCATGTGCTGCTCAGCTCTGGGCTGTGGGCCGGGATGTGAGCTGTACACTGTGCACGCCTGGACACAGGTTAACAGCACGCTGGACATGATTCCTGCCAAGGTGAAAGAGCAGTCCCAGGATGTGGTGACAAGTAAGCAGGGCTTTGAGCCTCCTGTGCCAAATTCCCCTCTCCCAGGGCTCCATACTCCCTTTTCATCCCATTTCTGCCTGGAGACCTCCCCTGCTGCCACCCCACTGCCTCAAGCCCTGGCTGTCCCCAAGTCCCCATGTACCATCCTTGACCAAAGCCACCTTCTCCCCATCCCCTCCCAGTCCCTGCTGTCCCAGGCTCGCCTGCCCCAGATGAGCAGGGCCTGGGCAGCAGTTTCTCAGCACCAACCTGTCCCTGTCCCCTGCAGAGGCCCAGGACCAGCTGGGCCTCATCAGGCAGGAGATCAAGAGCTTGCAGGAGCAGTTGCCACTGCTGGATGTGGAGAAGAATGTCAAAGCCTTTGTGGGCAACACCATGTCGATGCTGGAGGAGTACAGGGAACCGATTATCGCCTTGGATGTGCTCAGGTAGGTGTGGGGCTGCTGCATTCCCTGGCTCTGTTGACCAGAGTGCAGTGCTCTGCAGCCACTTGTGCCCCTTCTCTGCCAGGGTGTCTGTGGGCTTTTTCCTCCCTGAGAAGGCAGCTGATGGGAGGCTGGGCACTGCTTGGGGTGCCAGGTCCTGCTGTCTGACTCCTGCCACAATTCTTGCCCCAGGTGGAGCGTGTGTATCCTCTTGTGCTGCATGGTGCTGCTGGTGGTCCTCTGCAACATCATCGGGCTGCTGCTGGGGCCCTTGGGGCTGAAGGAAAGCGTGCTGCCCACGCAGCGCAGCTGCCTCTCCAATGCCGGCGGGAACTTCTTCATGGCGTGAGGCTCCCGCAGCTGCTGGGAGTGGTAGAATGGGTGGACAGGGCTGGCCTGGGGATGCTCAAGCTCCTAAATAGTCACATTACTGCGGCTTAATGGCCTGCCCTATGGCACCTTGCTGTGCAGTAGTAAACGTGAGGGTAAAACATGGTGCTGGTGAAAGGTGTTGGAGCGGAGCCTGTTTGCCCCTTGCCACAGGGACTGGCAGTGTGTGCATGGTCCCACAGCTCTGCAGGTCGGTGGTGGCTTTCAAAGCCGGGGGAAGCTGTGCCAGGGTCTGAGCTCCAGGGTACAGCCTGGCTGTTCCCTCAGGGATGAAGAGTGCTTTTGGGAATTGTGGTGCTTGCTAGCATTGCTGGCAGGGCAAGGGATGTGCAGGTGCTGGGCTTTGTGACCTGGAGGCCACGCTAACATCAGCACCAGGGCAGGGGGCCTTGGGTGCTGATGGTGTCTCTGTCCCGGCAGAGGGGTCGGCTTCAGCTTCATCTTCTCGTGGCTGCTGATGCTGGTGGTGCTGATCACCTTCGTGCTGGGGGGGAACATCTACGTGCTGGTCTGCGAGTCCTGGCGCAGCCAGCAACTCTTCCAGGTGAGCTCCCTGTGGGGAGACACCCCTGCCTGGGGCCACTGCCACCTGTCTGAGAGCTGCTGGCGGAACAGAGGCAGTGCTGGCCAGTTTGGGATGCTCTTCCCAGGTGCCCTGCACCGTGTCTAGTTTCTCCATCTCTTCCCTTGCTCTCAGCTCCTGGACACCCCTGGCCTGATCCCTGGCTTCAACCTGTCAGAGCTGCTGGGCCAGGAGGGTGGCACAACAAACTTCTCAGAGATGTACAGGTGGGTCCCAGCCCCAGCATCATGTTTTTTGGGGAGGGGTACAGGTGCTCGGTGCCCTTAGATGCTCCCCAGAATGGGTGCATTGCCCTACCTGCCGTGGCTGTGGGCAGGCGCCAATGCTGGGGAAGGAGTGAGGTGTGACTTGCCCACACAGGTGGGGATGTGCTCCTGGGAGAGGGTGGGTCTTGCCTGCCCTATTTTCAGCCCTGTACCCCCCTTCTGCAGGCAATGCCAGCGAGATGCTGCCCTGTGGCAAACACTGCAGCTAGACCAGAGCGTGTCCCTGGACGAGCTCTTGAACATCAGCCAGGTGAGTGTGGGGCTGCCAAGGTCTGGGAGGACAGAGCTGGGGGACTGTGAGGGGCCAGCACCATGCCCCATCGCGGCTCCCCTTGCTCCGGCAGTATACAACAGAGATCTCCACGGCCTTCGAGAAGATGGACATCTCCTTGAGCCCCATCTCCCTGCTCAACCAGAGCCAGAGAAACTTGCTGCTGACTGCCAGCCAGAAGGGGCAGCCCCCCGACTTCACCTCCACCCTGGAGCAGGTGGGCTAAAGGCAGCCTGGTGTTGGGATGTGGGGTCTGAATGTGTGTTGAGGCGGTCCACTGCCCCTTTGCTGCTGTGGGAGTCCCACTGCCAGTTCCCAGGGTGTCCTCTGCCATCCATGTCACTTCTTGGGGCAACCGGGCACTTTCTCCACATGGGAGGCCTTGGCTCCGCTCCACCCCGCAGGGATGGGGTATGGGCCCCCTGTGAGCCCCATTCTCACAGCTCTGTCCCTGCCTTTTCCAGCTGGATCAGAACGTGACCCAGGGAAGCCTCCTAGACCTGGCCGCACGGCTGGAGCAGCTGGCAGACAAAGTGGTGAGAGATCACAGCACCCCAGGGCTCCGGTCACCTTGTCCTCAAAGCCACCAACTTGCCTGGGTGCCAAGAGGAGGCCCTTCACCCTTGCCCAGTTCTTCTCTCCAGCCTGGCCCACCATCAGATGGCTGTGGTGGGGCAGGGACTCTATGCTGGGGGGACACCACTGACTGCAGCTCCTCCAGGATGTGGAGGTGAAAGAGGACCTGAAGGCTGACGCTCGCAAGCTGAGGGAGCTGGACAAGGAGGTGCAGACAAGCTTCTCTGGGCTGCTGGTGAGCGATGCTGGGGTGGGAAAGGTCTTGGGTGTGCTGGGTTGGGCTCACTCAGAGCCTGCTGGCAGGGTCTCGGCTGAGCCATGGGGTTTGTGCCTCTGACCTCCCCCCTCCATCCCCAGCAAAACCTGAAGGAGAACATCCAGTCAGTGCAGAACGGGGCTGCCAAGCTTGAGGTAAGCTGCACAAGGGGGCTCCCGAGCACACCCCTGTCCAGGACACCCTGCAGAGCATCCTTGAGGTCCTGCAGTGGAAATGGTGCCATCTTGGGGGGCTGGTGGCTCCGTGGGACTCCCCAGGCCCCACTGTAGGGGCTGCTCATGAGGCAGAGGGAGGGAATCCACACCACAGACCCTGCCAGGTGCAGGATCCCTCCACTCAAGGTATTTGGGAACTACCAGCATGTGGCTGCTGGGGACACCACAGCTCAGAGATGCTGCACCCCAGGGATTGCTGTGGGGCAGGGTGTGGGAGATGCAGGGACCCCACTTCCCCCATCACGCTGCTGAGAGCACTTGTCCCCCCAGGCACAGACAAAAGCTGCGCTGGACAAAGCCAACAAAACACAGGAGTTTCTGGACAGGGAGACTGCAAACATCATCAAGAATGTGAGCTCGCCTTGCCCTGCTGCTGGGCCACCTGGTGGGGATGTGACTCACCCCCACACCAAGACCTTGCTCTGTGCAGGGATGCCAAGAAATGTCTGGCTGCTCATCCTGCCCTGTTTTCTTCCCTGAGGTCTCCTGCACCCCTGGGTGCCCCCTCCCCTTATGGCACCCTAGGCAAGGGGCTGGGGTGGGTGGGTGCTTGCAGCCCCATTGCTGCTGGGTGAAGGTACTCTGACAGCCCCAATCCTGATGTGAAGGGGACATGGGTTACCAAGCGGGTTGGGGGTGCAGCATCTCCCCTCTCTGCTTGCCCTCCCCAGGAGACGTGGGCCTTCCTGGAGAAGCTGTTGGACTTCCTTGAGACCTACATCTTCTGGGCCAAGAGCAGGGTGAGTTGAGCCTTGGTGGGGCAGAGGGAAAGGGATGACAAACTGCAGAGTTTTGGGGACACTGACATGTCCTGTCCCCACCATGTCCCTAGCTGACGGGAGATGTGGCACGTTGCAAGCCAGTAGCTCAGACCCTGGATAACGTGGAGGCCATTGCCTGTGACTACATTCTGGACTCTCTGGTGAGTGGGGCAGTGGCGTGTGGGGTGGCAATGAGATCCTCTTGTTCCCCTCATGCACAGGATGAAGAGTACCCATCTCTGTCCTGAGCAAGCAAGGCTCAGCATCTCCCCAGCGAATTGCTGTGGCTAAGAGCAAAGGCCAGGCCATGAGAGTGGGTGGGTGGGTGGTCTTTGGGAGGGGGCTGGGCATGGAAGAGGCTCTCCCAGTCGCTGTCTGGTTCACCCCCTGATGGCTCACCCCCTGCACCCAGAACGCCTTCTGGTTCAGCCTGGGCTGGTGCACCTTCTTCCTGCTGCCCAGCATCATCCTGGCAGTCAGACTCGCCAAGTTTTATCGCCGCATGAACATCGCCGATGTCTACAGGTGAGGAGCTGTCCGCTCCCTGCTCTCTGGGTCTGGGGTCCACCCTGAGCACTGCAAACTGCTCCTTCACAGCAGCCCATGGGGCTGATCCTAAAGTTACATGGGCTGGGGGTGGACCAGGGAGGTGGCTTGGACCTTCAGCCTCTGTAGATGTTTTGGAGAAGAGCCTGGCTCTGCCTGCTCTCCAGCTCCTCTTTGGGCAGCCGAAGTTGCATGTGACCCACTGGGAGGAAGGAGCTCCCATCCCCAGCCTGGCTTGGGCATCCGCCACCCAACTCGCTCCGCTTTGCACCATTTTTTGTGGTGGGGCCCCTGAATGGGAGCACAGCTGGAGGACGCCCAGAATGTGATGTGCTGCACGGTTGGAATTGCTGCCACGAGGGTGCAGTGCTTGCTTGCACACCTGTGGGTGCCAGTGCCCCAGGGCTGCCCCACAGCTCTCCAGGGCCCTCAGCCCCACCTCCAGCACAGTTGCAGAGCCCTGAGTGATTTCCAGTTGGATTTCCAGCTGCTGAGGGCTATGGCTTGGCCCTGTGGGGGTTTCCCAGCCCCCTGCCTGCCACCCCTCTGCTCCAGGGTCACAGCCTCCTGGGGAGCCAGGGTTTGCAGCCTCCCGTGCCTGGTGCAGGTCCAGCTGACCTTCCTCCTCCTTGCCCATGCCCTGGCTCTCCCAGGGCCTGTGCTGGGTTGTACGTGGTGTGTGTGGGATGCGGCGCTGAGCCGGGCTGTGCCCTGCCCTTCAGTGTGCCTGGGGTCTCTGCCGGTGGCCTTGGTGCCTTTCACTTCCCCTGGCTGAGCTGGCTGGGGACACAGGGCCCGAGGAAACTGAAATTATGACACTGGGGAGCTGTGTGCTACTGAGCCTGCTCTGCCTGCCCAGGGAAGAAGTGGTGATGCTCTGGGGGCAGCAATGTTTGGGGGGGCTGTAGGAGCCTGTGCACTGAGTGCAGATGGGGCAGCCAGGAGAGAAGAGGGGACCATAGCACCCTGCAGCCCCACTGTGTCCTCCTTGTGTGCCCCAGGGGAGACTTTGCTCTACTGGGGGATGCTGGGCTGCCCCAGGAGGCATCTTCTTGCCCCACTGACACTGTCCTCTCTCTTTTTACCTCCCCTCCAGGAATGAAGCCTTGGAGATGTAAGTAGCAGTGCCAGGTCCCTGTGTGGGGTGGGGGGCAGCTCCTGTGAAGGAGGACAGGGCACGGAGGGGGTGAGGAGGAGAAGAGGGCGAGTGCAGGCCAAGGAGGGTGCTGGGAGAACTGAGGTGGGACCTGTGCAGTGTAGGCTGTTCTGGAGTCCCCCCATCATCTTCCAATACTCCTAAGTTTGGGGGTGCTGCTGCTCCCAGCCTCTCCCAAGCTGGTGGGGTGGGGTGAGGGGTCTCCATACCCTCTCTCCTGTGGGGCTGGGTGACAGGAGTGGGATGACATTTGGCCATTCCAGTGCATCCTGGGCTGTCCCTTGCTCCTCTGTGGCTGAGGGTGACAGAGGTGACCTTGGTTTTGCAGGCCACCCACGTTCAACTTCTACAAAATCCCCCGGCCGTCCACAAGGCATTAGTGCCCACTGCCCACAGCATGAGTGTGGAGCCGCTCCATCTGCTGCATCTTCTCCCTGGACACTGGGGAGCAGGTTGGGACTCCCCAGCTGAACTCCCCCCTCCAATTCCCATGTTGTGATGATGCCCCAGAATGTGTGGGAGTGGGGCTGCCCTCTGCGTTGCCCCTTGTGGGACTTCACACCCCCGCACCAGACCCCATAGGCTCAGGGCAGCTTGTTCTGTCTATGCCACCACAGCCTGCGCTGCTGATCAGTGGGAACCTGCTCACCCAGGCCCCTTGCTTGAAAAATGTGACTATTTATTTTGGCAGGGAGCCTGGCTCTTTCCAAGGCTGTGGTTCTTGGTCTCAAACAATAAATGGGGTGTTTGCGTGCACGACAGGCATGCGGCTGTGCTCCTTGTGTCTGGCTGTGAGGGAAGGATGCAGGGGTAGGGGCAGGGAGGGTTCCCCACTGCTGGCACAAGCTGGGGCTGTGCCTGGGACTAGAAGGCTCTGACTGGGGTCCCCAAGTGTTCTCCACCCCCACCCAGCTTTTGGGAGTCCTGACCCAGCCCATGGGTTGATGCAGAACCACTGCTCGGTATCACTGGGTGATGTTCCCTGCGCCGGGCAGCCCTTTGCACCTGTGTCGGGGTGGGTGCCAGGTTCTTCCCTGGGAAAAGCTGCACCAAGAGCTTCCTGTCCACAAGGTGCTACCCCATGCTATGTGTCGTCTGTGGGTTTCCAATTAGTTTATGGGGTGCCTGCAGCCCGCACCTCCCTCCCTCTACTGGGTATGGTGGTGGGGGGAACTTTAGTGTCCACCCCTGCATGTCCCACACTGCTGCATGGCATGAATGGGCATGGCGAGAGCTGCATGCACAGATAAGTCAAGGGCGACTTGGTCTGCACCCGTGGTGGGGCGAGCACACGCGCTGCTTTGTCCTGCTCCTTGGCGCACACTCAGGGACCCTTCCAAAAGCCGGGTCAGGCACAGGAAGCATACGTGAGCAGTTTGATTCATTTCCTTCATTGCAAAGTCCAAGTCTTTCTGGAGCGAGCAACGGGGCTGAGTGGGCCAGCTCACCCTCTACTACGTGCATCTGCTTTATCACTTTTTCCCATTTGCCTCCAGATCTTCTAATCACTGTTTTTTCCTCCAGGCGTTATCTGAAGCTGCACGAGCCTTACCTCCTACTATCTCCCCTCAGCACCCATCCTGACTGCAGAGAGCCCTGTGCTTGCCTATCACCCAGCTGAATCTGTCCTGTGTGGTGGCTTGGCCCCTGCTGCCCTCAGGGATGCCCACCCCTTCTCATATTTGGGGTGGAATTTCCTGGCAGCTCCTTGGAGAGCACAGCTCAGTTTTGTCTCCACTTGCTCTGCCTTTGCTCTCCCCCACCCTAAACCCTCAACCTCCCGAGCTGTGACTCTTCTGTGCTTGTCTAGGGGCCGCATGTGGAGATTTCGATCACCAAGCTGGCCCCACTGCACAGCGTTCCCCGCTTCCTCGTCCTTTGCTGTGCCTCGGGGACACTGGCCCATGCAGGACTGCTGCTGGCTTCAGTTTCTGCTCTCTCCCTGCTCAGCCTCCAGCTGTGGCCTTTTCTTCTCTGCAGAGCCTGTGCTGGAAGGCAGGGAGCTTGACCCTCCTTGCTTGTTGCATCACTACGGCCACCTGTATCCAAATCCAGCCCTGGCAATGAAAATCTCCCCCCAGATTACTGCACAGCCTTTGCCAAGGCATGTGGGGATTGCTCTCAGCAGCATCCCAGACCCTGGAGCCATGGTTCTGAGAGAGGCCTGGGTCCATCCTCCTCCTCCTGAGCAGCCTCAGGATGTGGGTGAAAGCAGCATCAGGCAGGGTCAGCAGCTGCTTGAAGAGGCAAAGATGGCCCATTGCAAAATGCCCACAGTGGCTGCTGCTGGCTCTCCTTTCAGACCAGGCTCCCTCCGCTCATGAGCGGCAGCTGCCAGAATCCGCTTCCCTCATGTGGAAGGGAAACTTGCAGCACCCCCCAGCCACAGCAAAACCCCTGCCATAAAGGAGGCCTCATAAACAGCCAGCCAGACTCTAGAGAACCGTTGCAGCGGTTCCTCTTCCTCTTTGCCAGACTTTTTCCACCACAGGGACTTTCTGCAACTGAGCCCTTGTCTGGGGGAGGCCCTGTTGCATCTTTACAGTGGTTTGACAAACTAGGATCCCTCGACCAGCAGCTCTGCCACTGCATGCCCCAGGGCCAGCCTGGTGCTCCCTCTTGCTGGTTTACCATCCAGGTACAAAGGGACAAGCTGCAGCTCTTGAGAAAAAAATCCTCCCTTCCTCAACTCTTATACTGGGCCCAGCCACAGCCATGTGCTGCCTAGATGGGCCTTCTCTGTGGCACACAGACACCCGCCTCCAGGGCTTCACAGTAGTAAGGAGCTGAGTGTACAGACGGCATGGGCTGTCCAGGCACAGCTTGATCCCTGAGCCCAGCATGTACCAGCCGTGTGAATCATGCTGGGTAGTACCACGGTCTGGTCTGGCCACTTTTCACCGTAAGCGAAATGAAACTGCCCTCCCTCCCCCTAGGTTGTGCATCCTCACAACATCCACCACTGCTTGAGTGCTGCTTTAGGAACCTTTATTTTTAGAAGTCTGTCTTCCATGCTTAATCCCACTCTCAAGAGAACTAATGCGGGTGAATCTTTCCCATCCCATCCGAGCCAGGCTCTGCCAGACCAGCAAGGCAAGAGACAGCTTCTTCACACCACAGCCCCGAATGCAGGGGCAAAGGCACAGCAAGGGTCTCTCTCCCGGAGGACGCAGAAGTCAGGCAGTGAGCACTGGAGAGAGGGTGGAACCTGGATCTTCCTGCACAACTGCTCTCAAGTTACACTGACTTTGCAAACAGAGGCACAATATGAGCCAGACAACCCTGACAAAAGCCCCTTTGTGTGCAAAGGGCAAAGGTAGGGGAGATGGGAACAGAGGGCTGTGGCGTCCTGCAGCATAATCTAAGCTTCCACAAAGGAAAGGGAGAGGCAGGGCCAGCCCTGAGCTCACCAGGCTGCTGCCAGCTTCTCAGCTCAGAAGAGAGTTCAGGTACCATCTGGGATAGAGAGATAAGGGAATTAGGCTGCTCTCTTCAGCTAAGTAGCTACAATCAGTCACAGCTACAGGGTTGATCCCAGAGGAATTGCAGCAAGACAGTGTGCAGAGTGCTGCAGCTGCAAGTGCTTGTGCTGGGACCCCCAGGACCACGGAGCTGCGCCACACTGGCATTTAGCATCCGACTGTGCCCAAAGCAGCAGGACTCGGTGACCCAGCTTGGAGGTACCACCCAACCCACTGAGCAGAGACCGAGGGGAAAAGACTGTGTGTGTGTCCCTGCCCCACTCCACCACCACTCCTAAAGTATCAGAGCAGTAGAAGTGAAGTTATAAAGGAGCCAAGCAAACCAAAAACAAAGTGCTTTGGGCAGGGAGCAGTTCTGTAGTCCTGTAGTGCAGCCAGCGCTTTCATCTGCAGATGCACCCGGCATTGCTCCTCCACTGGGGCACACAAAATTGCACTTGCTAGAAATAGCCAGAAAGCCCACTCTGGCTCCAGATGAGGTCCCCCAACCCCAGCCACCCAATGAACTCTGAGATGCTGTTACAAGGAGGCTTCAAAAAAAAAGCAGGCTTTCGTACTGCCTTGTGCACCCAAGGCTTGGGATCCCGTTGTGCTTCCCCGCTTCACGCAGTGTCGCCCTGCACAGAGGGGGAGGGAGTCCTTACCATGGGTGGCTGAGGGGCATCATCGGCTGCTGCTTTTAAGGGGATCTTGTGCTCTCGGGGTGGGGTAGGAGGGGGGAAAGTGGGGCTCTGCAAGGCATCTGAGTACATCTCGTCCTGGATGCAGGGACGCTGCACAACCCTTTGCAGCAGTGGCTTGAGCAAGCCAACAGTCAGCTGGTTCTCCTCACTGGAGAAGGGCATGGGGTCCTCCTGAGTGTGAGGGAGGTGCTTAAGGACCACCGTGAGGATGTCCGAGGCAGTGAGCTCAGCGGGGCACAGTGGCCACAGTGTGTCCAGATAAGGGTCCAGCTCCCGGTGCTGGGCAAACTCTGCCAGCAGTGTTGTGAATATCTCCTTGTTAAGCAAGGGGCTGAGCTTGGAGAACTTCTCTGCCACCTCTACCACTCGCTGCCACCGCTTCAAGCAGATGAGAAGGTGCAGAGCTTGCAGCACAGCCTTGGGCCTCTTGCTGCAGAGCAGCAGCTCGAGCTCCATCTCATCATCTCCCTCGCTGTGCTTGTTCTTCCTGGCCAGTACTCCCAGCGCTCTCTTGTACAGTGGTACCCGGCCCTCTGGGCCCTCCTTGCTGCTGTATGCCCAAGAGATGCTAACATACTGCTGGGTGAGCTCCACAAAACTGGGCAGCCACTTGGGTTTGAATCTCAGGAAGGAGGTACAGATGAGCTCAAAGAGTGGGACCACCCCATTCTGACCCACCTCCTCCTGCTGCGGTGCTCCCAGGACCTTCTTCCACACCTCTGGGGTGGCCCTGGCTACTAAGAGGCCGTCCCCATTCTGCTGCAGCTGCAGGCAACTCCTCGTGGCCTTCCAGGCGGCCTTGGGGAAGGAGACAAAGATGGAGTTGAGGTAGGCCAAGTTGTCCTTGTCAATGTCAGAGTGCAGAACACGGCTGACCTCCTGCTCCACCAGTTCCTCACAGTAGCTTTCCACCTCACTCTCTGGGGCACACACCACACAGGTCTTGAGGAGCTCCAGGCTCATGTAGCTCTGCAGTTCCAGGCTCATTGTGCTCAACAGCTTGGTGTAAGTGTCTTGAAGGTCTCGGGCTGGCTTCTGCTTCTGGTGGAGGCTGTGCCGCAGGATAGCAGCAAGGGCCACAGGAGCCTGGAACACGCCACCTTTCTTCAACTTCTCCACTGTCAGCTTGGAGCTGCTGAGGCTTCTCCTCTGGTAGTATCTGCAGGCCTCCTCGAACACCATCTCCACCAGGCACGGCTCAGGTCTGCTGCAGTCCTCAAACTTGGAGAAGCTAAAGCTGTAGATACCAGTTTGAGTGAGGAGCTGGATACTGTCCTCCTCTCCCGGGGACTCCAGTAAATGCACCTCTTTCATGCTTAGGATTTTCTTCTCTATGAGCCTTCCACTGTTCTGGTCAACGAGGTACAGGACCCCAGCCAGCACACAGGCCAGGATGCTCCCAAAGGTCTTCAGCTGGACGAGACTTCCTTGTGTCAGGGCCCCCCCCTCCAGGTCAAAGATATGCCTCTGTGTCCCATCTGGCTCCACCATGTTCACAGCACCCTTTGTGCTCACCAGCAGCAGACCCCCGCTGTTGGACATGGCGGAGGTATAAATGTCCAGAGGTGCCAAACCTGGAAGACGACCCACAGAGCCAAGCAGGAGCTTCCTGAAGTCTGACTCGCTGCTGGAGTGCAGCACCTTGCTGTGGATGAAGCCTGCAGAGGGGGCTGTGATGGTGAGCTTTGCCTTCTCAGGATGCCAGACGAGGAGGAATTTGGAAGTGGTGGCAAAGCCGGCAGTGACAGGCACCAGGAAGACGTGCTGTGGGGAGGCCAGGACGTGGTACTCAGGGCTGTTGTGCAGGACCATCCTCACGGTGCCCAGCCGCACACCTTGCTCCCCCACCTCCAGTGCCCGGGTACAGACACAGAACCTGAAGGCACATTTGCTCATGTCCGAGTGGGCATCCAGGGGAGGCCTCTCCTCACACCACACCAGGCTGGCTCCCTGGCTGCACACGGAGATGACTCGTGCCCGGGCACCCTGGCAGAGCTCCAGAGTCTGCAGCAGCTGCCAGCCCATGGCCACCATGAAGTGCCAGACCTCGGTCCGACCATGTTCCCACACAAGGGCCAGCACCCAGGAGCCCAATGTCACAGGGCTCTTTAGGAAGAGCAGTCCTACAAGGGCTGGCTGGGGTGGCTGCCAGTTCCTCTCCAGGTCTG